CCCTCCTTCTTCCCCACCACTACCCAAGTGCACTCCCTGATGCCCCCATTCCCCACACCCCTCAACTGACCTGACCATCCCCCTCCTACGTCCAGGCCCGCCTACATGTCGAATCCCTTCCGCCACCTGCCAGGCCTGCTCATTGCCACATCTCACCCCAACCCCTCTCCTATGCCCTTCTCCATACCCGCCCTCCTAAACCCCTCCTCACTCCTTCCTTACTCCCTGCCCCCCTACAGTCTCCACTCCCTCTTCCCAATGTTGGATAACAGCAATCATAATGTAAACCATTGTACTTGTATCTGATAGAGTAATGTGGGAGATCTTCATTGCATGTGTTGCAATCATTTCCCTCCTCTCTTCCTCTTTCCTTCCTCCCTGGCTGGGAATTGGAAACGTGGTTGCTGTAGCTGGGGACTGATCTGTGCCATGGAAGTGTACTAGCCCTGGTTGGCTTGCTTTTTCATTCTTCCTAAGTCGACTGCCCCGTGTGGATATTTTGTCTTGAAAGAAACTAATTTGACTGGAGTTTATCTTGGGGTCACGCGCACATTCTCGCGCTTCTCTGCTGAATGTGTGTCAAACCATTGGTCAGTTTTTAACTGCATGTCAGGTTTTAGGTCAGTTGTGGGTGTGTTTTTTTTCTCAGAATTGATACTTGCATCAGTCTGCATCAGTCAGGTCATAGCTGCTAAAAATCTGTCCAGCTAAGATCAGTCATGTGATGTTCGAGCACTTCAGAATTGAGCCTTCCTAGAGTTTTTACTCAGTGGCTGAATGCTTGTAAGTGATGACAGGCATTAAAAGAGCAGGATGACAGACTGTGGCAGATGGAGACAACGTATAAAAATAGACTGAACCAGGAGAAAAATTATAGAATAATGAGCAGTGAAATGTAAGGCATAAAAACGTTGCTCTACTGAAGTGTACTAAGTGTCACCTCTATTCTTCAGTGCTCTTCACATTCTGAATGAGGATGTATTGTAATCTATAAATTTACTTTTTAATTGTTGGATCTCTTAAGACCAAACCTGTAAATTATTTTGCCACATCTTTCCTCAAGATCCTTGTTGACTTGTTCTGCAGCATATTTCTGCAAGTATCACTTGCCCTCCAGTGCCTTGTCCATCTAGCAAATCTTTTTTTTGAGCGGCTAGTCAGAGAGCATTGGCAGGCTGTGAAATGATGGGTCAAATCTGGCATCTTCCCTTAGAGCCCACAGCCATGTGTTTGATTCTTAATTGCCCCCTGAAATGCTGCAACAGGACACTCGACTCAAGGACAATTGGGGATAGGTAATAAATGCTGGCCCAGCTAATGACACCACATCCCTTGACCAAACAAGAAAAGAAATTCCATTGAGCATGTTGAAGCCTTATTTCTGCAGAAGTAGAGGTTGTACAATTAACATTTCTGACCCCTGGTTCAGTAGGAACATTGTCTGTTTTCACTGAAAATATTATCAGCTGGCATTGCACCTTTCTAAATCTCAGGTGAGGGCGAGACTGGGCTCAAGTGGGACGGCCTTACAGTTGACTGGCCAGCTAACACTGTTCAAACCCCTACCTGAGTGATTGGCAACTATGTTGGCAGATACTGAATTCACTTTGGGGCCATAACCGAGTGAGAATTTGGTGCCATGCAGAGGGAAAGGATATGGTTCCTGTTGACAGCAGCAAAATAGCTTACTCCAGATTTTGCAGTTGGACATTTTAATAGAAGTGGAGTGTTAATGGTGGACTCTCCCATTAGGTCTATATTTTCTGATGTTTCAAAACACTACTGACATTTAAGGAAATGTGAGTTCTTTGTCACTGAAATTGGGGCACATGTCCAGGGATTGCATTCCTGTAAAGTGATAATTGGGTAAATTGGCCCTTCTGGTTTTATGAAGTTTGTAAGATTACTGTGATAACTAAGCTGCTCAAATGCCTTTAGTTTACAATTTTAAATTAATCATGCATTTACGTACCTATATTTTTTAATGTAGAAAAATATTCCAAGATGTTTCACAAAGCTAGTAAAAACTAACATCAGTAAGTTTTAAGGATGGAGGAGCTCATAGAGATGAGGGTGGGGATGAAGTCACAAGGTTTAATCCACTCGATGGTGCTATTCAGAATCAGTGAAGGTCGGTGTGTGTGGGGATAATGGGTGCATGGAGTCTGGTGTTAGTAAAGATGGAAGCAGCAGAATTTGGCATGAGCTAAAATTCATGGAGGGTAATGATTGGAAAATAACAAGGGAGGATTGGAATAGAAACAAAAGCCGAAATTGCTGGAAAAGCTCAGCAGGTCTTGCAGCATCTGTGAGAACAAAGCAGAGTTAACATTTCTAGTCCAGTGACCCTTCTTCAGAACTGGGGAACTTTAGAACTCTGTTTTTTTTTTGGGAGGAGTGGGCTAGTTGAGCCTGAGGAAGAATAGGACTTGGATGAAGGTGTCATTGGATTGGATAGAGTATTGGATTGGGTAGAGGGATTGGTGTCTAAGTGTGAATAGCTAGTATCGGCAAGGGTGTAGGCTTTCCCAATTCATCTGGACAACAGGTTAGACCTATTGGAGGAGTGGTCAGGATAGGTGATAATGTGTCAGTCACAGGGGATGTCATTTGTGATTTTGAAGTGAATTTTCATTTCTGTGGACTGGGCTGAAATAGAGATTTAAACATGCAAGTGATACATGTATACTTTAGAGGTGACAATGAATTTAGAACAAACTTCTGAAGCTCTTCATGCAGAATGACTTGCATGTAAGTAATAGTGAGAACCCTGGGTGGGTAGCATCCCCACAGAACCAGAAGTTCTGGGTTCAAGCCACGGGGCTTGTGCCCAGGGAAGTGTTAATGACGAGATTTGATGGGACTCTTTTTCACCACCTCTTTGCTCCCCCAAAGGGGGGGATTACTGTGTATGAAAATGCACTGAAAATTAATTTCAGATGGATGGAGAAAGTGGATGTCCTGGTCTGAAATTACAATATTTGCTGATCATGCATTAGATGTTAATTTCAATGACTGCACACTGAAACTAATCGTGGTGATACCAGAAAGAGTTACTTCTGTAGATCAGGTTAGAAAGTTGACTGAGGTATTGAAACTGCCACGGGGAGATTTTGTATTTTACCATGCATTACTTAACACCATTTGAGGTATTTGTATACTCACCATAGCCTGTGAACTTTTCCTTGCTGTGATCATGTTTCATTATTTGGAAATAATTGTTCCCATCTGTGTGTTTTGTGTTGTTGAGATCTGTGCTGCTCTGCAGAGGATTAGTTGAATTACTGCAGTATGATCAGTAGATAATTAATGTTGCTGGGTTCCTGAGTGGGCGCTACTATCTCGATGTGCTCAGAGATTAATCACCAAGTTCATAAAATCTCATAAACCAAGTCATGTAACAACAGCCATTGGAGCCCTGGGTTGAATTTCAGACAGGAATTTTGATGGAATACTTATTGATATAAATTGACTTGACTGGATTTTTTTGATAGTTGTTGGGTGTTTTATGCTAGGATCTGGCTTGTCTTGAATCTATTTAGCAAGGACCACTTCACCAAGGTCGTTCAAAGCCTGCCATTGAAAGTTGAGGTTCATCAGAAGGAACTTCTTGGCGATTTCTTAGTTTCATTGATCCAAACGATATCTGCCAGTAGATCTTTCTCAGAAAGGTTGCTGTATGTGGGGATTTTGTTTTCAAGTGCATTATTTCTAAGGGAGAAAATATGCAGTGGTCCAGTGCAGTTCATGTGTCAGAAATGGGTGTATCCTGATCAGGGGAGGCTTGGACACAATTCCTGAGTTAGTCTTTGAAACTGATGGAAGGTACACACAACTTGACAGACAGTGTTTGCCTATTCTGCGTTGTGCTGAGAAGGTTGATGTCTCTTCCATTTCATGGAAGTTTGGGGGGGAACGGTAGTGGCTTGATTTGAAGGGCATATTGGGGTTGTGTGGAGTCTGTGGGTGGGCTCTCTGGAGTCTAGGTCAGTCTGGTTGAGGCTTTTCTTTCCTAATGGATAGGGATGAACAAGTTAAGTTTCTATGACTTTTTAAAATTTTTATTTGGTGCCAAAATCATTAAATTTAGTTCAACAACACCACAGTTGGTTTTGAGTTTAAGTTCTGAATTGCTATTTCAGTACTTATTGTGCTTTCATTGAATTAGTTGTTCAATATTTGGGCATTGCTAGCAAGCTCATTAATAATTGTCATTGAGATTGCGATGGGTCATGTAGTCTGTATGACGAAGTTCTCCCATGGTCTAATACTGCTATTTCATGAGACCACATGATTACAGTATCTGCTGATCTATTAGCAGTATTATTTACTAGCAAAGTTGTGATATCCATTGGGATGCTGGAAATTTTTAATCTGATTGCAAATTGAACTTAAAATACTTCTGCTGTTTATTGATACAGCCTAGTTACTCAAAGGAAAATAAGTGTTAAAGCGTCAGAGTGGGAGGTTATCAGGCTTATGCTGACATTTGTACAAGGTATGCTACAACCATTGTCTCATGGCACTTGGGCATGGGCAATAAAAGCTGGCCTAGCCAGCAATACCCAAATCCCATGAACAATTTAAAAAAAAATCATGTCAGTTTCTTGCGTTTTAAAAATTTAAAATCAAGTAGAACTGAGTGCTTTGCTCAAAAGAAGTAAACAATGGTTTGCATTTATGTAACAACTCTCTCGGCCGCAAAACACCCTAAACCCCATTAAATGATTGGAATGTTGTAGCTAATCT